CCCATTCCTTGCTGGCCAATTTATGTTGGGAGCATTAAAGTCCCCCAATATTAACAGTTCGGGGGAATCACGCCTCACCCTTGTCAAGAAGTTTAAAAGCTCACCGTCTTCATTCGCAGTTGCTTCTGGGTCGATGATCTTGGGCCGAAAGTTTCAAAATAGTATTTAGAATAGCTTTTGACAGTTATATGGAAGGTGCATTTCTTATAGATTTAGTAGGGGTACATTTCCCGTCCGAAAACTCGTTCGTACATATTAACCAATAACTATTTTGTTTTTTATGTAAAATAAATTTTCCTTTAATGTTTTTGGTTGTTGGCTGGCTGATTGAAACCGGCGTTATGTTTAGGGTCTTTAATAAGCGAAATAATTTTTGAGCGACAGTGGTCTCCAGTTGGGATTTTTTTCATGGCTTGGAGAATGGGGATCGATCAAATGACTCTGACTTTTTTGAATAAAGCTGCGTTTGGATGCTACTCCCTAGCCGACCATTCCTTTGTAACCAAGTCCCAGTAACTGCGATCGCGTCGGCATTGTGCGGCCGTGCTCTCAGTTCGCACCATTTGTTCCCCAAACATGCTACGTTAGTATAAGCATCATGAAAGGGGTCCGTCCCCCCTACTCTGGTGCCAGCATCGGAGGTGGCGGAATGGTGTTCGGTAACTAGTCGCTAGCAGTTCAGGTTCAGTTGTTTTGAAACCTTGAAGTGACTCTGTAACGCACAATGGAATCGGTCTGGGAATGCCCGCTGATCAGCACAAGTCTGAAACGGCGAACACGACAGCTGCATAGAATTGAAGAGGGGCTTGCAGTGACTAGCACTTTGATCATAGTAGCACCCCTCTGGGTAAAAATCCCTGAGAGAATATCTATAAACGAAACCCACGTAACCATTATGCAAGAAAAACGGTCGGACTGCTCGGGTGTGAGGCCCGGACAGAAAACACCCTCTGTGAAGAAAGTTGAGACTGGCCGGAGTGAGAAGAGACTAGCGCTTGTGTACACAAATGCACTTATCATTGGGAACAAGTGGCCGGAACTGAGAGCGCAGACAGAGCGTGTTGAGATTGTAGCGGTCACAGAAACGTGGCTCAGAACAAATGAAGCTCTGAATCGAACGCATTGAGCGAGGTTTTCAGTGTATAGGCAGAATAGGATGGACGGTAGAACAGGCGAATAAGTGATGCTTTTCGTGGCAGACCATCTGGAGCCCCACACAGGCTTCAATCTAAAAAAAACCCAACATTCAATCTATTGAAGCAGTCGTAGCTGGTGCGTCATCCTGTCTATTGGTATTCTGTCTCTATGGTAACCGTAGATCNNNNTAATGCTCGAAGCCTGGAGTATTACGCAGGTGCTAGGCTAGGCCCAATAGTCCCGGATCTTAGTGATTTTGAAGGTTTCTTCTGGTCCTTTTTCCTTGTAATCATTGTAGCGATCGTAATAATACGCACGGAATTCGAAATGCGAACCTCGCAGTAGGAATCACAGGACCCGAATTAATAATCAGCTAACACGGACTGGATTAAAGAAGCACTGGACCACAATGGCATGGATTCGCGTTATCCCACGGGAACAAAACGTGAGGAAAAGGCCACAGGAATGGTGTTAAGCAGTAGTTTGTTCATTGGAAGAAATGAAGGTGATTAAATAATATACACAACGGGAGATTATTGGCTATCTGGGCTTCCACCAATGGGATTGCAGTACTACTTGTATAATCTTGCTTCTGTCTGCGCTGTCTTGGATTGGCTGGCACCATCCTTCAATGACGTGTATTCGAAAGCCAAGCAAGTGTCATTGACGTCAGCATTCAAACTTGATTGATCGGAAATGTCCTGAAACTGTAACGCGCCACTCCAGGGTAGGCGCCATCGTGTAGGATTGGATCACCACAGTCCCGGTGAGCCGGGTACGGGCAAGGCTCCACTGCGGCGGATGTTGGATAATTAAAGTGAATCCGCGTCTTGTTAGTACAAGAAGGTTACCTGACATGGGGTGAAAGGAAGGGAGGGGGTGTAATATCTGCATGCAGTGCGACAAATCGGAAAATTTAGGAAAAATGCGGAACATGAATAGCACCATGGAACGGGGAGATGTTTACCGTTCAAGATTTAGTCCAAGATGCAGGCCTAGATTCCTTTTGAAAGCGGATCTTGTGGGGGCATTACCTACTTCTTGGGGGAGGCTATTCCAAAGGGGAATGACCCTGTGGGTGAAAGAGCACTGACGGACTAGTGTACGGGCACGCGGTTTGAAGAGTTTCATGCTATGACCACGAAGATTATCCATACTAGTGCGCACAAAGAAGTCATCGACCCTGCAGGAATTGAAGAGAGTGTACAGTAGAAAGATATAACCTCTCATCCTGCGGGTTTCGAGGGGATACAGGTTCAGGATGGAAAGGCGTGTAGACTAATGGGTGGAGGACAAGCCGTGCACAAGTTTTGTCGCCCTCCGTTGTACACAATCGAGGGCCGTACAGTCATTCACCAAGCGGGAGTGAGTAATTTGACTCTCATATTCCATTAAAGGTCGAATGTACGTGCTATTAAGAATTTGAAAGTCATCTCTATCTATTCTGGGGATTAAGCGTTTTAGAAAGTTAAGAATATGGAAGGCGGATCTGCTAGTTTTTTGTTGGTGGTAAAAGAATGAGAGTGACCTGGTCAGCCAGAAACCAAAAACCGTGGCTCCATCAGCCCTGAAACCATGTATAGGTAACCTCCCAAAAGACATGATGATGCTTTTGTCGTTACTTATGGGAAGGTTCCAAATGGTAGACAAGTCGTTGACTGCATCCATTGCTGATTGAGCAGCCACAGGATCGGTGCCCCAAATTGCCACATCATCGGCGTACATTTCGACGTTGACTCCGATCCTGTGGCAGGTCATTAATATATATAAGGAAGAGGAGGGGGCGAAGGAACTTCGCGAGACTCCGGTGGAAATGGAAGAATCAGATGAGAGCGATGAACTTACGCGGACCGAGAAGGTACGGTTCGTGAGAACATCGCAAAAAAGAGAGAGAAGTCTGCCACTGAGGCCATTTGACTCGAGCTTATAGAGTAAGGTAGCGTGAGGGCATGATCAAAAGCTTTTGCTAAATAAATAAAAAAATGCGTTAGGAATCAAGCCTTCATTATGGGCTTGAGTTAGATTGTCCATGACAGATGGCATATTAGAGATGCAGAATCTACCAGGGAGGAGCTGTGTTTGGTTTGAGAAAGAAGCTGATTGTCTGTTACGTGTTTTAGAGTTGCTCTTTTTAAAACCCGTTCGAAGACCTTGCTGGGCACGCTAGTCAGACTGATGGGTCTAAAACTTCTTGGAGAGTGTCGGTCCTTTTTTAAATTAGGGGGATATGATGTCTCTCCTCCAGGATGAAGAAAATTTTCCAGCATCTAGACACATTTGGAAGAGGGTGAAATAGTACGGGGCAAGAACCGAGGCGGCTTCTTCTGACACTTGAGGATGTATACCGTCTAGTCCCATCAAAATAAAGGGATTCAGAGATTTGAGGAGTGATTCGCTCTCCCCCGGAAGAATAATGAAATGTTCCAATGGAGTGGTGTATTAAGAAGGAGAAGATTGGGGTGGAAAGAAACAGGAGGAAAGTTAAAAGCGGATTCATATTGAGACCGGAAGAAAGCCGATAGTGGCAGATGACTTCAATGCACCGGAGATAGATTCTGACCGGTCTGCGTGTAACTTGATTTAGTTTCCGGCAACCTACAGAAAGTCGTATCGCTCCTGTTTTCTTCTTCACTATGACCACTGGAGACGTCCATGTTGATCGGGATGGCATGATGATCTCTTCCTCCAGCATCTCCTAGACTAACCTTCCCAACTCAGCTCTATATCGTACTGGTACCCATCTGGGGTGCTGTCGTACGGGTGACACCCCTTGTGTGGTAATATGATGTTGGATGGTCTTGGTTCTGCCCAGAGGAACGCCCTCCCACGCGAAAGCAGCCTGGTGTTTGATCAATAATGCATGGATCCGATCCATCTGTTGTGACGAGGTGTACGGATCGGCACGACACAGAGGCCTGGATACTTGGCGCTGCAGATCCACGGGGTGCACCTCGAATACCCAATCGGGTCCTCCCTTAGCGTGTTCTCTTAGGGATACTAGTTTCCCTTCGGGTATCAGTGTGTCCTGACTAACATCAGTGCTGAGTTGGAAGGCCCAGAGGAAATCTATTCCCGAAATCAAATCGTACGAGATTTCTGGGGAGATTACCATTGGGTGTATGATACTCGCGCTACCAATAGTTAGGCTCACCTCGGATACTCCATGAACATGTACTAGATTCCAATTAACCGCTTTTAACTGCATTTCACCTGCCTTATCTATACCTCTGGGGCATAGCTTGGGGACTATCAAGCTGCACGCGGCACCTGTGTCGACCAAGGCCTTGGCATTTCTGCACCCAATAGTTACATTAAATAACGGCGGAATGATGGTTGTAGAGTTACAGATGCATATATGTGGCAAGACTAAAGAAAACCTCTGTGACTCACCGTGGTGTGGATTTTTCGACTGTCCATATGATTCTGGTGTTCGCGGCACATTGCTGAACCCGGGTCTCGGTCCCCATTGACCTTGAATAAATGAGGCAGGTTGACATTGGTTCGCCGACACCGGCAACAGGCGGATTAGTGGTCTTCGGGTGGGAGTTCTGGAGCGCAGTGCGCCGGATTACGGTCTTTCGTGCTCCGCGGAGAGTTTACTCTCCGTGCTCGGTTAACTGC